GCCACCTGAACAGCCTCCACACTCCACAAAGGCAATTAAGGAGGAGTAGGAAGCCAATTTTCAGAGTCAACCATCAATATTTTCTGTAACCACAGTCCTGAATCCCACTTCATGAGCTTTCTGATGTGGGTAACGAGCAGGCATCAGGTCTAAGAGAAAAGGAGATAAATTAGGGCTCCCCGCTGGACAGGCGGATCATGAAACAGCCACTGGCTCAGCTGCTTCCCTTCATGAGCTCAGGATCATCCGCCCCTGGGCGGGGGCAAGAGGGTGACTTTCTGGGCCAAATGGGGCAAGATGAAAGGCTGGGAGACCTGCAGGGCCTTGTCTGAAAACTGGCAAGGGATGTTTTGCTGATTTAAAGCAAACCCTCTAGAATGATGGCAGCCTAGTTTAGAACCTGATCCCAGGATGGCAGAGACAGAGCCATCCCAAACCACCTTGGAATGGGTTCCTTTTATCCACAGCAGGAAGCACCATTCTTAGCGGGTTTCTAAATCCAGGGTTCACGCTTTATTCATTTGTTCTTCAGGAACAGCCAGAAAAGGAGAGAGCTTAGAGGACCCTTGTCTAGCTAGAATTAAAGTTGGTATTTCAGCTTAGGCAAGCCACAGAGAGGGAGATGTAACACAGGAGAAAGACTGGCAGCTGTGGACTGAGTTCTGGATTTTAATCCCGGATCTGGCACAACAGCCACATGCTCTGGAGTTATTTAGCCTCCCTAAGCCTGGGCTGCCTTACCTGTAGAATGGGGACAATTGAACCTATTCCATAGAGTTGGGTGAAGAGTTCCAGGAGAGAAGCACGAAAAATACAGAAATGAAGTAAATGGTCCATCAGTACGGGAGGTTAGACACAGTCCGTGTAGCCATGGACACACGACAGAAGGAATCCTGAGCCCAAGTTCACGTAGCTCTATCCTTTCCTTCCTGTCCAGTGGATTACATAATCCTGTATGTGATACCATTTCGTTTTCAAAGGGAAAACTCAAATATCAGCCTTGGCGTTTCTTAGCTGCCTGATTTTAGGCAACTATTTTTCAACTCTGTATTCCAGTTTACGAATTATCTGTGAATGGAGGTAAACAAACTTTTCTCTCCACTGCACAGAACTTCCCCGAGTGTCAGCATGCCACCATCTACAAAGCTCTACACCAAAGGAGTCCTCCTCTTCTTCCTCCTCTGCGGATGTTCAGAGCTACATGCTTTGAGCAGAGATCAGAGAACAGAAATGTGGCCAGTCCTGGTAGCCTGTTGATATGGGGACTTGGAGGCTGAAAATAAATGGGCCATGTAAATATCAGGAAGACCAATGAGCATTCCACACACCACAGAGATGGGCAGGCTGAGCGATCACTATTTGCAAATCCACACTAATTGGTCATTATGGAGACTCGTACCGGTCCATTGCGAATTTCCCACAGTTCATTTTTAATCATGCACCGATCCTTCATAAAGATCCTATTCCCTATTACTCAATCTCCAGCACAAGCAGATATAATAAGGGGCCCACAGGAGCATTTCTTAGAAACGCCATTTCCAACAGCTACACGAAGTGATTTCTTGGAGCTGTATCAAGGGAGGCCATCCTCTGTGCCCGCAAGGTGCCGTCTGACACGCTTATCTAACACAACTGCGGAACACAGCCTGAGCCTGCTTCTTTCCTGTTCCAACTCATTGTCTGATGTCATCTACAGGATGTTTCCACATGTGCCCTTCCTTGTAACTGTCATGGGAAAGCACTCATTCAGCTGTCACAGGGCTGCTCTGGGGACTTAGGCTGGTACAGATGGAGCTGCCTGATTTATGCCACTGTGTGGTCACAGGTAGGCAAACACCTAGCTGCCCACCTAAGCCCAAGGCACAAGAGGCCTCAAGAATGAAGACCTGTGGTGGGGACAAAGGAATCTGTGGCTTTGTCATTCTCAAGGACCCAGCTTTGAACTCATTGTGTATCACTCACACAGTTATCACACAAGGCATGAGGCATACGAGGGTGGTAAAAACCAGACAGGACCTGGTCATTCTGCAGTCTGTGGTCTAGGGGAGACAGAGACATTTACCAGCTCATCACACAACAGCACGAAAAAATCCACTCTAATGAGTGTCCAGGAGAAATGTATGTGATCCTACAAGAACATGTAACAAAAGAACCTCTGTGAGAGGAGGAAGGCAGGGTAGGTTTTCCTCTGTGAACATTGCTTCAGCCAAAGAACCTGGATTAACTACCAGTGGGGTGGAGAAAGGAGGCTGGGGAACAGCTGAACTGCCAGTAGAAACAGTCCGCTCGAAAGTGGTTGCTGTCTTACGAGGACTGGGAAGCCATGGTGGTTTTACCAGAGGAAAGGGGTAGGTCAGGTGGCCTTGCTTTATGGAAAGCTGACTCTTGCCCATGAATAGCAATTTGGGAGGGAAAAGGTGAGTGGAAGAGAAGGGTGGAGACAAGCCTGTATTAAAAAAAAAAAAGTTGCCATTGTGCTAGGGAAGATCACATGAGTTGGGAAGAGAAGGAGGAGGATTACAGGAATAGCAGGATCAAGCTAGCACATGTGATGGTTGGAGGCAGGGCAAGAGAAAGAGAGGAATTCCCAGGTCCCGATGAGCAGCTACGTAGATGACAGTGTCATGGGATGAGTGGGCTGGGCAGGGGCAATGGGCAGATGATGGCTGTGGCTGTGTTGAGCTGGATTCTGTGTAAATTATTACTACCGTTGTCATTATTATGGTGGAAAAAGTAAGTTCTCTAAAAATCTTTCATTCTCAGTGTCCTACTGGGTTCTGACAAGTCTCATGGGGCTCAGGAATGCAACAGAGGGGTGACCAATTGGTAGAGAACTATGCAGGTTTTAGGACTCTTCTCTTGGGTTGTCAGTGGTAGAGGCTGGGGGGAGAACAAGACTCTGGAGACTGTCCTTTTGAACCCTTCATATTGTTAAGATTATTATTTTTTAAGCCAGGGGAGCTTCAATTCCCGATGGATAAGAATTATATATGTAAAACAGTGGACAACTGGTCTACCTGTATGGACATGGGCACAGGAGTTGGAGCATCTGAGACCTCTGAGAAGCCCTGGGCTCCCAGGAGAAGAGCTTAGCCTAGGCTGCCTCACACTTCTGCCTCCCAACTACCAAAGGATTTCATAAAAGGCCACATGAGCACAAGCAAGCACTTTAAGTAGCATATAGCCATGAAGCAGAGGATTTTTTTTTTTAAGCAAGCATCACCTTGCTAAGTGGCCCAGGCTTCCTCAAACTCCTGGGCTCAAGCGATCCTCCTGCCTCCGCCTCCCAAGTAGCTAGGAGTACTACAGGTGCACACTACCCTGACTGAGGAGTTAGCATTGAGAACTGCCTGGTTGTGGGCACTGGTGGCCCTTCACCTGGGCCATTGAGGCTGTCCCTACTCACTCAACAGCGAGAGAACCAACCATCAGAACCACTTAGATGGTTCTTCAGTGGGAAACTGGGATTTGAACTGGGGCTTTCTTTCAATCTGCTGTGTTTTCTTGATAAGCACAGAGTACAGGTTTGTAAGGGCCGCAGCACAGAGAAGGGTGAACAGGGAGCAGGAGGCAGAGGCCTCCACCCGCGACAGCTGCTGCTCCTCCTCTCCCGTTGCTTCTCCCCATGGTGTTGGCGCTAAGACCCTGGGAGACAGAGTGGCTTGCTTTCACCTTAATTAGTGCGGCAATTTGCTAAATTTTGTTTTTCCCCTTTTAAGAGTGTTAATCAATTTTAGCTCAGAATAGATTGGAATGGCACACAAATTACCGCGACAATCCCCAAATGCTAAATTCTGAACATCTCGATCAACCTCAGAGCCTGAAACACGTGAAAAATCAGAAACTCCGGCTGGCATCTCTGTGATCTATTTAAAATGTTATGGCTCTGAAATGAAAAGATAATGGCTTTATAAGGTTTGAAACAAGCAATTTACCAGAATCAGCCTCTTGCCTAGGTGTTGAGTCCTTCCCAAGGTGACTGGAGACAAAGCATCAATGCGTTTCTGCAACGTTCTGTGTTCCTCTAATAATAACAATTTGCTAAATCCGCAAGCATTACAGGGCGCCTATTTTGCGCCAGAAATACTGAAAAGAATAAGGTGTGCTTCTTTTCCCCATACCCCATTAAGAATGTTGCAGTAGATAAACGAGAATAGAAAATGCCTTCCTATTCCCTGGGGAGGTTGGGGACGGTGCCGAGAGGAGGTGGTAATGCAACTGGGTCCTAATAGTGGATAGGAATTGTGACAAGGTAGGTGGGAAGGGCACATGGGACAGAAGGATCAGTATAAACAAAGACTCAAACACAGAAAAGAAGGCAAAGAGAACTGGAGGACTCCTCTATTAATCAGAGCTGGGAATGGGGGAAATTCTACAAAAATTACAAGAGATGGTGCTATTAGAAGAGGCAAGAGGCAGAAAGACAGGGCTTCGAATCAGAATGTGATCTCAGTCTCCATGCAAGCAAGGTGGCACTACGGAAGGACTTTAAGCAAGGATCTCATTTGGTTGAATCCCTCCGGTCTGACACATAATTATTCAGCATAGTGTTTTTAAAACATCTGCACATATATTTGCTCATTTGAGCCTCTTAGTTACACAGTGAGTTGAAATTTTAACCACCTTCCTACCATTGAGAAAACAGGGCCAGAGGAAGGTGACTCACCTTGCATCTTAAGACCAGTCAATGACAATACACAAATTCCAACCCAGGTCGCTCAGACTGAGTTCAGGATTTACCTCACTGGGGAACAAAATCCTCTCCAATCCTACCATGGAACACTTTCAGATATGGCCTCCCGCACTGAGGGACTGGCATGGATTCTGTGTTAATGGATTGGTTGCCTTAGTGCTCTCAGTAATAATGCCAACCTCTGTCATATCCTGGACATTATCCAGAGGAGCCCTGACATCTGGCACTGTGAGTCAATTTAAAGGGGCAGAGAAAAGCTCCCCATGGGGACAGGCCAGGGAGGCCTCGGGCTTCCTCCCTCCCGTACCTTGAGCTCATCTGCATTGTAGAAGTCCACGCGCACAGCGGGCACCATCCAGGTCTGGAAGAGCGTGGCCAGGATCTGCTCGGCGATGGAGTCAGCGATGAGGTGGAAGTGCAGAGGGTTCCGTCTGCAGGGGACAGGAGAAGGCCAGGGAGAGTTAGGCCCGGGAGTTCCAGCATCAGGCACATCCCTCCCGAGCTCCCACTTGCCAACAGCACTTGGAAAGTAATTACGGCTGGTAACCCAAGGGTGCTTTGTGGTGAGGACACAGCAGTGAAAGGAAGGAGGTCATTTCTCCGAACCTTGGTGTTTCAGAGAGGTGACTGGCACACACCACAGAAGGTATCAACGGGCCATCCAAGACAATCCTCTGTTACCAGAGGATGTGTGTTTGTAGAAGTCTCAGGGAGGGTGTAGGTAAGGATGTGGCCAAACATTATGTCTACCAGCTGGACATACGGGCATTAGTGCGGACACACACTGACAGAGGGGCCACGTCGTCAGGTCAGCTGTGGACAGCTGGCCAGACACCTCTCCCCAGGCACAGGGTAAGTCGAGTTTCCTGCTTGTTCTTCTGCAAAAGAAAATAGGCTTTCATGATGGAGTCATCTAGAGCCTTGTCCTCATGGAAGAGAGGTATTTGGGTCATGGGGTGCTCCCTCTCAAATAGATTAATACTGTTATTGTGGGAGTGGTTTCCTTATTAAAGGCTGAATTAGACCCTTGCTCTTTCTTGCCCTTCTGCCTTTTCCCATGTGATGACACAGCAAGAAGAACTTTGCCAAATGCTGGCATCTTGATATGGGACCTCTCAGCCTCCAAATTCTTCACTCAATAAATTTTTGTCCTTTAAACATTATTCTCTGGCATTATGTTATAGTAGCACAAAATACAGACACAAAGTCTAAAGAAGAGCAACAGGAAGTTGAGTCTAGAGGAATTTTAGGAGAAAAGATCTTACAAATGGGACAAAAATGGAACAGAAGAAGCCAAAGGCAAGAGAGCAGAAAGACAGGGTTGGTGACTGAGCACAAGTTTAAGAAGGGGTTGGCAAGGCCAGTTGCTGCTCCTGTATGGATGAATCTATGTCTGAAAATGATTACTAACCAAGAACAAACTGCCACACCTGTATAAACTGCCTAAGAGTGACAAACTGAGTAGATGAATTAAAGAGACAAGTGGCTCAGCAAACTGCCCCAAGGGAACCACTGCAGAATCCTGCAAATTCTCCCATTAAACCCTCTAAGGGAAGGGGAGCCCCATGAGAAGCTCCCCTTTCGGAAGCTGCCTTAGTGGTGATTGTGGCCCAAGAGAACATGAGTTGCTCAGTGGCCAGTGAGCTACCCGAAGGCCAAGGCAAAGGCAGGTAGACAAAGCCACAGCCATGAGGGATGGTCCATTTATCCCTCAGTGTTGGCACAACCACCTCCCAGTGTCGTACTAGCCACAGCAGTGTCTCACTCACGGAGAGTGAATACGTGTAAGCCCACACGATCGTCAGCTAATTGAGCCATGAGGTGGCAATACTAAACGGGCCAAGCTACGTCCAGCTGCTCCACCGTCAATGCTCTCTGCTCATCTGCTGGTGTTCTTTCCTCTGCAGAGGAGACCCTCTCCCTACTTGATGACCCCTGCCCATCCTTCAAAATTCTCCTTGTAAGAACTCTCCTCTGGGCCACCTTCTTGAAACCCTTCCTTATATCTTTCTCCTGCAAACTTGTTTGAAGAGTCAATCGCCCATCTGCATGGGGCCTTGGGATACCAACTCCCAGTCTACCACAAGGCTCCTGAAGACAGGGCCATCTTTTCATTCCCATCCACAGTGACCAGGAAAGAGCCTGGCAAATTATTAGTCCGCAATAAACATGTTCAACAGGAGGAGACAACAGTGACCCTCCTGTGTCAGCGAAAACACCATGCTAAAAATTAAAACCAGTACACGATACCCTCCACACGACAGTTCAGAGTCTATGCCTGAAAATGATTACTAACCAAGAACAAACTGCAACCTGATCCAGAATTCCAGGGTTGGAACACTGGCTTCAGCACTGTCAAGTTACTTCACCTCTCTAGACCTCTCTATCTCCTCTTCAAAACAGAAATGATATTGGTGAGTAATATCACAGTGGGTAATTGTGAGGATAAAGTGAGATAATATGTATATAAAGTGCTCAGTAAAGTACCTGGTACATAATAAGATTCTAATAAATGCTGACTATCACCAATATCACTTTACAAGATATTACTTTACAATATTACTTTACTACTTTTGCATCACCATTTCTAGTGCTGATTGATCCATTTTTAATAAAATATTTTCAATTAGTTCACCTATACATAGACAAAAAAAAATGGTGTGTGTGTATGTGGTGGGATGTGTGAATAAATGCTCAACAAATCACTATGAAGCCTTAACCACCACAAGGTACGTTTGGGATACAGCTGGAACGAGCTAAGAGCTCTCTCTCTCTTCGGGAGCTAACAATCTGGTAGAGGGAACTACAAGATCTTTAGAACATGTGCCATTCGGCTGGGCTGTCTCACGGAGCCACATAGCTTGTGAACAGAATGCCTACATCCTCATAGGCCAACTTGGACAATAATGGGAAGGCGCTCCTACAGTGGTGATCCACAACTTGAGCTATACAGACCTCTGCAGGAAGCAGAGGACAAGAGACCACTTCTCGGTGGTGGAGAATGTCGACAGCTTTCATGGACGATATGGCAATTAAACAGGAGCTCTGGGAGGGTGCAGAAGAAGGCTGGAGGAGGCATCCTGCAGTAGACAACAGAACAAGGGAAAGAGCAGGTGGGAAGAACAGAGCCTGCAGAGGAAAGGGGACAGTCCCGCCTGGCTGGATCAGACAGCATACCCTAGATAGCTCCTGTATGCCAGGAACAAGGAGGACAAAAGACGAAAGAGAGACAAAGACTTAAGGGTCGACAGGGCCTGAGGATGTGAATTCCCAAGAACTACAAACTTCAGATTATCCAACAGCAAAAGAACCAGATGAGGTCCAGAGGCTCAGCAGGCAGCTGATCAAAGCCGCGGTCCTGGGAGGTGATGAGCTGGTTGCAGAGCCAAGGAGAAGGGAGCAGGCTCTCAAGGAGGACGCTGCCAACCATCCACGGGGCTTCCCGTCTGTGTTCCTCTGCACTGTGTAAAGTCTCTCTCAGGAGCAAGAGTAAATGGGAAAAGAAACGCTCCTCGCCTATAGGCCAGGCCTAGGTGTCTGTACCATGAAAGGGGCTTGTGTTCTTGCCCAGCTTCCCTCAGTAGAAGGATAAGAAAGTGCTTATTTGGAGGACATATGGCCCCCACCCAGTGACACTGGCTCTGTCAGCTTCCTGGCATCAAAGGCTGGCCAACCAGCAGCAGCTGTGTGTCATGCCCGTCAAGAGGAATACTCAGAGGGGTCTACTCATGTTCCACTTTGGGGGACATCAAGAGAACTGTAACCCATCTCCAAATGAGACTGTGGTCCCTGTAAACAGCACTTCACGGTGGCCTTTCTAAGGTGCACCATGCCGCACGCAGTGAAAGTATCTGAAAACATTGTCTAGACTACATTTCGCAGAGCCCCTGGGTAAGCCAGAATGTCTCCCCTGAGCATGAACTTGCAAATCCTACTGCCAGCCAGATGGCCCCACAGACCCGTGGGATCCTTGGAATCAAGAAGGCCCCAATTACAATGCTGCAAACACACCAAGCTACTGATTATTTGTGGAGTGTTTGTGTATAACTTGCCTCTGCTCTAGAATTCAAACTCCAGGGGACAGAGACGTGGTATGTCACTCATACTGTACCATAGCAGTCCCCAGAACCAGCTGGCATATTGAGTGGGGACTCGAGTGTATTCTGAATGACTGCATCAATGAACAGCTCAGTTGATTCCCCAAACAGAAATCCCTTTGCCCTTCCTTGGTCTCTTACAATTTCTTCCTCCAGCATTTCCTGCCAATCCAAAGTGCTTGATTCCCTCAGCCTCACCAGCTCAGTCAGATTGGCTGAATATCTGAGGCGCTTAGGACAGAGACCGGCAGGTGGTAAGGACTTGGTAAACGTCATCATCCTTCTCCCATCTCCCATCTGGCGCCACCTCATGAACACAGTCACTCTTATTCTCCCTCTCTTCTCCCTTCAACCCATCTTCCATCTCATCAGTACAGTCTCCAAAATGATCACAGAACCTTTGGCCATCATTCAAGGCATAGGGTCTGGCCTCCTGCAAGGAGCTGACCTTCGAGGATCTCACCCTCTCTGCCTCTCAAAGTTCATGTCTTCCCTCTTCTTCCTCCAAGCCCACACTCCAGCCACGTGTGTATCCAGTTCTGCATGTGACCAGCTCCTGCTCCTCCTGCAGAACAAACCCCAAGGGCACCTCCTCGGGGAGGCTTTCCAGAGCTACCCCACCCAAGGTACCCCATCCCTCACCACTATCCTTGCCAAGGCCCTGTTTGGTTTCTTCCTAGCACTTGCCAATGCTGTGGACCTCCAAACTCAGCTTAGGTCTACCTCCTCCCCTCCTCTAGACTGTGAGCTGCCAGCGTGGAGCTTCTCCAGTTTGATGCAGTATTTATTCTCTTGATCACTCTCTCTCCCCAGTGCTTACAAAGTGCCTGACCATGGTGCAGTTCCAGGCTGAGCCATGTTTTCCTGCAGTAAGTGAGGTGGCCAGGTGGGAGGCCCAGGAGGAGTCCAGGCTGGTCCCTTCACTGGGAAGTATGGGAGGCTAAGTCCAATTCACAGGGACATGCGAGACAGATGATTCACATATGACAGAGCAGCTCATAACTTCTGACTGACAGCAGTCAAGATTACTTCATTCTCCGTTTGTGTGATTTCTGAGTCTTATTTCATGTTCATTTCATAATTCAGGAGGGTTGATTCCCCAGCCCCGTGACGGCAGAGGCCTGCACGTTCCAACATCAGCTACAGGCTGTGAACCTAGAGCCTATTCTCTCCTTCAAAGAATGATTAGCACCAGTTAGACAAGTATTAAGGACATATTTACTCCAAAGTGAATTTTACCAACTGAAGTTAATAGAAGCTCCTTCCAAAGGAATGATTTTCTCAATAAATGATTCAAGGCTATGGAGCTTTATACCTGTGAAACATCTAAATAG